ACATACTTAATCTAACAGAATACAATTTCTTCTCAAGCTCCCATGGAACATTCACCAAGATAGACTACATTAATAAACATATCTTAATTTAGAAGAACAGGAATCATACGAAAAGGCGCTCAACCTTATTAGTCATGAACTAATGCAAACTGAGTCAATGCAAATTGAGAACACAATAAGAGACTACACAACACATTGGCACAACTACAATGTTAATGTAAGTGCTGGCAAGGATGTGAAACAAGTGAAATTCTCCAACTGCTGGGTGCAACCTTTTTAGTAAACAGGCATACCTAGAGAAGCTGAAGACATATATATCCTATGACCTAATGTGAGAAACTGAAATGTGCACGCCAAGATACATGTAAAAAAATGTTTGTATCTGCAAACCAACAAAGTATTTTTAAAAAAGTTTATATCAGCATCATTTGCAATTGCAAAAATCTTGAAATAATTCAAATGTCCACTGGCGGTGAAATGAATGAATATATTAAGAAATACTTACTATGGCTGGGCATGGTGGCTCATGCCTGTACTTCCAACACTCTAGGAGGCTGAGGCTGGCAGATTACTTGAGGCCAACAGTTGGAGAGCAGCCTGGCCAACCTAGCAAAATCCATCTCTACCAAAAATACAAAAAATTGGCCAGGTGTGTGGTGGCACACACCTGTAGTCTCAGCTACTCAAGAGGCTGAGACGTAAGAATCACTTAAACTCAGGAGGCAATAGTTGCAGTGAGCTGAGATCCACACCACTGCACTCCAGCCTGGGTGACAGAGCAAGACTCTAAATACAAACACACACACACACACACACACACACACTACACAGCTATTAAAGTGAATGAACTACATTTTCAAATAACAGATACATCTTAAAAACATAATGAGCCAGAAGCCATGCACAAAAGAAAGCATATTATATGGTTTCATATAACATAAAGATCAAAATAGGAAATGCTAATCCACATTTTTTAGGGAGGCAATTTTTATTTTCAACTATGAAACAAAGCAAATAAAAACATTACCATAAAAGTTGAGACAATAAAGAATTCTATGCAAGATGGAAGCCACAGTGATCCTTAGAAAAGACCATGACAGAGCTCTGGAAGAGCTATTTCCTGATCTGGGTATTATTTATTTATATATATATTTTTTAATTTATTTTTGAGACAGAGTCTTGTTCTGTCACCCAGGCTGGAGTGCAGTAGTGCGATCTCAGCTCACTGCAACCTCCACCTCCCAGGTTTAAGAGATTCTCATGTCTCAGCCTCCTGAGTACCTGGGACTACAAGCGCGTGCTACTGCGCTTGACTAATTTTTGTGCTTTTAGTAGAGACAGTGTTTCATCATGTTGGCCAAGCTGATCTCAAACTATTGGCCTCAAGTGATCCACCCGCCTCGGCCTCCCAAAGCGCTGGGATTAGAGGTGTGAGCCACCACATCCAGCCTGACCTGGATATTATTCACACACATTTGCACTTTGTAACAACTGCTAAACTATACATATCTTATGTACTTTCCTGAATGTGCATATTACAAAATTTAAAATGATTACAAATTTTTTAAATTGTAATTTTGACTTTTTTTTGGTGGGGGGGGGGACAGAGTCTTGCTCTGTTACCCAGGCTGGAGTGCAATGGCACGCACTCGGCTCACCGCAACTTCCACCTCCTGGGTTCAAGCAATTCTCCTGCCCCAGCCTCCCACGTAGCCACGATTACAAGGTGCGCGACACCACGCCCAGCTAATTTTTGTATTTTTAAGTAGAGATGGGGTTTCACCATGTTGGTCAGGCTGGTCTCGAACTCCTGCCCTCGTGATCTGCCTGCCTCAGCCTCCCAAAGTGCTGGGATTACAGGTGTGAGCCACTACACCTGGCTGTAAATTTGACTCTCAAAGGAGTAAGTGACAGAAGCAGGGAGACCAGTCAGGAGGATTCTGTAATAATCAGGTGGGAAATGATGTGCTTAAATCAAAGTGGTAACAGTTTTGGTAGTAAGAAGTAGTAGTACTAAGAAGCAATTTGATTATATTGTAAATTATATTCTAAAGTAAAGCCAACAGGACCTTCTGACTAAATTTGGGATGTGATTGCAAAAGATGAGTCAAAATAGTGTCAAAGCATTTACCTGAGCCACTGAAAGACTAGATTTGCCATTTAAAATGGGGAAGGCTGTAGGGAGCAATTCAGGAGGAGCTTGGTAGAAATCAAAACCTGTTAAGTTTGAGATATCCATTAAAGTCCAAATGGAAATGCTAGTAGGCTCTTACATATAATCCTGGAGAAACAGATTTGAGAGTTGACAGCATATGGATCAGTATTTAAAGTCATGAGACTAGAGTGATCAGCCAGAGCAAATGCTGCTAAGAGGTAAGACAAAGGCTGAGAAATGTCAACTGGATTTAGTGATACAGGAATCACTCAAATCTGACGTAAGAAATTGTTACTATCAGTGACTCTGCTTAGAACAATATCCTTTTCATCATAAACTACAAGTCCAAACGGACGTAGATTTATTTATCAATTCTGTAATGTCCCTTAGTCTTTCTGTCCATTTATTTATAAGTTCTTTAGACAGATTTAGTTATTGTAGTTTTATATCCTGGCACCTGGTAGGGCTAGCTCCTCATTACACTACTTACAGAGAATGTTTATTCTTGCACAGTGGTTCTTCCTCCCATAAGAATTTTATAATTACTTTGTGTAGTCCTTTTAAAAAGAGTATTTTCACTGTACTCATATTAAATACATAGAATATTTAAGATGTAGAAGAGTAAAGGCTTAAAAATGTTGCTTAGGACAAGAGAGGAAGTCTCATTAATATGCAATTATTAACTAAAGTTTTGTAAGCAGAAAATGAGATTGCTCAGAAGAAAATACAGAATTAAAAGAGAAAGCAGTAGGAATGAACTCCAGCATCTAGAGTCTGAATGGAATCATATAAATTGCCATTGGAAACCAGGAAGGTATGGTCAGAGTTGTGAGAAGAAATGCCAGAGTATGGTATAATGGAAGCCAAGGGAATACCACTGAAAGACTGAGGAAGACGAGAGTTAAAGCGCACTTACAGTAACATAAAGATCACCGAGGGCCTTAAAAAGATGATTTAGGCCAGGCGCGGTGGCTCACGCCTATAATTCCAGCACTTTGGGAGGCCGAGGTGGGTGGATCACGAGGTCAAGAGATCGAGACCATCCTGGTCAACAAGGTGAAACCCCGTCTCTACTAAAAATACAAAAAAATTAGCTGGGCATGGTGGTGTGTGCCTGTAATCCCAGCTACTCAGGAGGCTGAGGCAGGAGAATTGCTTGAACCCAGAAGGCGGAGGTTGTGGTAAGCCAAGATCATGCCATTGCACTCCAGTCTGGGTAACAGCAGCGAAACTCCACCTCAAAAAAAAAAAAAAGATGATTTAATGGACTAGGGAACAAAGCTAAATTAACGCATGTTAAAGAATGGGATGGCAAGAGAGAAACAGAGCAAGAGCTACAGGAGTATGCAAACTAGAGGAGAGTTTTTGTTTTGAAGAAAGGAAAGACCTGAGCGTGATTAAGTTTTGATGGGAGAATCCAGTACTAAGGGAGAGACTGAAGATAGTAAAGAGAAAAGAGAGAAGGGACAGTATAAGAGTCCTGAAGAGAGTTATACTCAGCAATGTGGATGTGTGTAGCAGGAAGAAGAAAGGATGGCTTTATCCAAAGGGATAGATCCCATACCTCCCTTCATAACAGACAGGAAGGAGGAGAGAACAGGGGTAGCAACAGCTAAGTGTGTTGTCTACCAAGTAAGAAAAGTGGTCATTTTACATTGATTCATTCATTCATTTTGAGACAGGGTTTTCCTCTGTCTCCCAGAGCTGGAGTGCAGTGGCATGATCTTGGCTCAACCTTCTGGGCTCAAGTGATCCTGGGGCCTAGACCTTCTGGGGTCAAGTAAGCCTCCCATCTCAGCCTCCCAAGTAGCTGGGACCACAGGTGTGCACCACCATGCCCAGCTAATTTTTGTTGTTTTTTTTTGTAAAGATGGGGTTTCAGTACATTGCCCAGGCTGGTCTCAAACTCCTGAGCTCAAGTGATCCACCTGCATCAAGCTCCCAAAGTGCTGCGATTACAGGTATGAGCCACTGCGCCTGGCCCATCTTAAATGTGATTAATAAAACTCACCCCTGTTGCTGAACACTTACACTGCTTTCAATATGTCACTAAGAACAGAATAGTTGGGTCACAATGGTAAGCACTTTGTGAAACATTTGAATTCCTACTGCCTAACTTCCCTCAAGAACAAAGGGATTCCCATTTACAATCCCTCTAGAACTCTTCTCCTCATGTTGCACGGCTATCATTACTTTCTCCCCCAACCTTTCTGTCTTGGCATCCAATGTTATCTTTTATTAATATTCTAAGAAGAAAAGGCTGATTTTTTTAAAGAAAGGTTTGAGATTAATGGTAATTATTCATATATAAGTTCACACAGACTTCATTTTTAATTACTTTAAAAATATAATTCCATTAAAGTAATGTGATAAAGATATGTACCTCTCAAAATGAAGTGTGAAATCTGATTTATCCATTACCATTATGGACACAATGTAATAAAATGGTAAGGAGCTGGAGAAATAAAGGTGAAACATCAGAAACAACGTCACAATAAACAGATTATAGAAAAGCCTTCCGTGAGAAACTTCTTGAACAGGATTCACAAAACAGTCATCTATCTGGTCAGAGGACAGGATCCTTTGATTACGTGAAAATCATTTGCAATTCAGATCAGCAAGTAAAATCACCCACCAATGAAGTACATAAGCACCCCCTGACACAGAACCCCAAGCTACAGATTTCATGCCAAAACACTCTCTCCACTAACATGTTATCATTGCTATGCTGAAAGCCAATGAGAATGCAGATAACAACCTAGATCTGGGTCAGGAATTATTTTTATTGCAGGTAAGGACCTACACAAATCTCAAAGGGCACCAAAAACAGGCCCTTCTTTCTTACCTTTACCATGAACGTGAAGTCTGTTAGGGCCGGGGAGTAGACGGCCCCACCAGCACATGGGCCCATGATCAGAGAAATCTGAGGGATGACTCCTGATGCCGTAACATTCCTCTGCAAAAGAGAAAAGCAAAGGCATCTAGTTACAGAGATGTTTCACGCATTATCTGTAGAAAGATAAAGGCAACAATAAGATAACATTTGGCTTTTTCCCCCACAGAAATTCTATACAGGAGGCAACAGACCTAATCAGTAAAGTTCTTTAAGAATTATATGGTTATTTTCTCCCCCATAACTGGTAGGATGGTCAGCATATTACTCTCTTAGGCATATATTTTCTCTCCTCTCCCCTCCTGGGTAGCAGTTCCCTAAAACCTTCACTAAGGGCATGAGCTACACAGAGTCCCACCATCCTCACCCTAGCTCCAAACACAAAGCCCCCATCTGTGCAAAACTGTCCGAAAGAAGAATGAAAACCTCATGCAGAATGTGCAGAGCCAACACTTATCCGGTGCCCTGATCTCTATTTTGAGTCCCTCCACATCCTCCACAGAAGGCACACAGCAGTCACTAGGCAAAGCCACAAGGCAAATGCTTCTTGACATCGAATACCCCATGTCTACTCTGCCCACCCCCAGACAAGGCAAAGAGGAGAGAGGAAGGTAGAAGGAGCCAGAAAGCCTCCATAAGGACATTGTCTTGTGAAGGACTAAGCCTCAGGCCACCTCCTAGAAGAGACAGGATGTGGGGGCTCAAAGACCCAGGCAATAATAAAGGCGCAATTACTCTTCGCCCTCCTTCTAACCCCTTTCCTCCTAAGTCCCATCAGCTTAGAAAAAGTAGGTTCCCTTTTCAGCCTACCTTGGCTCTAAGCCCAATCTCTACACAACTAAGCACAGTGCAAAATGTAATCTATAGTCTCTGCAAAAATATCATGGTAGATAGGAAGACTTCCAATTGTGGCAGAGTGAAGAGTTCAGAAAACTGTCTCCCTCAAAAATGACTGGACGACATTGTCAAAAATGAGTACTTCGGGGTTCTAAAAATGATCCAAATGTAACAAACTGAAAAGTGTTTACTCATGAAAAACTGCTAAAGTTGACACATGAACAGTGACAGCCTATGGCATTCTTACCCAAGGCTGCCACCATTGCCCATACCAGCTCAGAATGTCCTACTGGATGAAAGAAAATAACACCAGATTGTAATTCAAATCCACAAGAACCAATTCAGAGTGCTGAAAATGCTAAATATGTGATTAATTATAAATACTGCGTAAGTATTTTTCTATTTTCTTAATACTTTGAAAGACAAGCCTGTTAAAAGCAACAATTAACGCTGTTTTGAGTATTATATAACAATAAAAGCACAAATGAAGGGAGCAAAATCGAAGCTACATTGGAACAAAGTTCCTATAGTTTACCAGAATTAAGTCAGTATTAATTTGAAGATTGTGATAAATTAAGATATATATAGTAACCCTTAGAGCAACTACTAAAAATAACTTTAAAAATACAGCTAAAGCCCCAGAAATTAAAATGGTACACTAAAAATATATTCTTACCATAAAAGAGCTGAGTGACATCATGGAAGAGAGAAGAGGAAGCTTCAGGATTCTGAGATCAAAACAACTATTCAGCTGATAGGAACTGTCTAAAGCAACTATTTTTTAACTCTGGAGTCTAGTCAAACACTTCAGGGCCCAGAGGAGAGTTTGATAAAGCAGCAAGTAAATTTCAGTGAACTTCACATTTATTAATAACATGGCTGCTATAATCCCCCAGCCAATAGCCCATTGCAGGTAGGCAAAGGATGTTCTTGGTGTAGCTGGCTGGTGACAGATTGGGAAATGAGAACCTTGTATCTTGGTTTTTCAACTTTGAAAAATCAAGGTTGTGTGTTTTGATTGCTGACCACTGCTTTTGCGGGCTGAGAGGCCAAGCTTAGAGGCTGGACATTGTTTCAACCCTGATGGGCTCAAGCAGCTTCCCAGAGACCAAGGGATTTAAAAAGGTAGTTTGTTCTGCACCCTTCTACCCATTCTGGGAGACAGACATTTAAGGAAATTGTTGTCAGATTGCTGGTTAAACACAGAGACAATATAACCAAAATTTCCATATTCAATAAGGAACACACTCTTTGCAAAAAACAGCTTGGAAAAGTTCAAACAGATGGATCAAGAAGCTGATCAGCAAAAATCAGCAATTCCTGAAGAGTGGAAGAATTAGACTTCCAAACTCCCAAACACAATATTCAGAATTTCCCATCCTCAACAAAAAATTACAAATCATACAAAGAAATAAGCAACTATGGCGCATTCACAAGAAAAATAATAATTTAACAAAAATCACCTCTGAAAAAACCCAGATACTGGACTTAACAGTCAAAGATGCCACATGAACTGTCTTAACTATGTTCAATGTGCAAAAGAAAACTGAGGAAAAAACTAAAGAAAATCAGGAAATCAACGTCTGAACAAAATAAGAATACAATAAAGAGATAAAAATTATAAAAAAGAACCAAGCAGAAAGGCTAGAGTTGATAAGTACAGTAACTGAAATGAAAAATTCATTTCAGGGGTTCAACATCAGACTTAAGCAGAAAAAAGGATCAGGGAACTGGAATACAAAACAATTAACATTTTCCAGTCTGAGGAACCGGAAAAAAGAAAAAGAAAAATTAATACAGCCCGAGGGACCTGTGGGAAACCAACAGATATACCAATATACGCATTATAGGAATCCCAGAACAGAAAGGGTCAGATAAAAGATTTGAAGAAATAATTACTGAAAACTTCCCACATTTGATGAAATACATAAATATACATACCCAACAAGCTCACCAAACTCCAAGTAGTACAAACTCAAGAGACCTACACTCATAAATTATGGTCTAAACACAAACATGAGAGAAACTTGAACGCAGCAAAATAGAAGCAACTCATCACGTGCAAGCTTCCTCAGTAAGATTAACCATGGAAGCCAGAAGACAGTGGGACATATTTAAAGTATTGAAAAGTCAGATGCACCAGCTCACACCTGTAATTCCAACACTTTGGGAGACTGAGACAGGAGAATCACTTGAAGCCAGGAGTTTGAGACCAGCCTGGACAACATAGTGAGCCCTGATCTCTACAAAAAAAGAGAAAAAAAAAAGTGTTTTTTTTTTTAATTTATCGGGCATAGTGGTGTTCTACCAGCTACTCAGAAGACTGAGGTGGGAAGACTGCTTGATCCTACAAGGTCAATGCTGCAATAAGCCATGATCATGCCAATACACTCTCTTCTGAGAAACAGAGCAAGACCCCGTGTCTAAAATAAAAATAAAAACAAAATAAAGCATTGAAAGAAGGCTGGGATTACATGACGCATGCCTGTAATCCCAGCTACTTGGGAGGCCAAGTTGGGTGAATTGGGTGACTCCAAGATTTCAAGACCCACCTGGCAACATAGTGAAACCCTGCCTTTACAAAATATACAAAAATTACCCAGGCATGGTGGTGCACGCCTATGGTCCCAGCTACTTAGAAGACTGAGGACGGAGAATCACTTGAGCCCAGCAGATGGAGCTGCATTGAGTGGAGATTGCACCAGTGCGTTCCATCCTGGGCAACAGAGCAAGACTCTGTCTCAAAAAGAAAAAAAAAAAAAGTCTGGGCACAGTGGCTCATGCATGTAATCCCAACACTTTGGGAGGCCAAGGTGGGGAGATCACCTGAGGAGTTCGAGATCAGCCTGGTACAACATGGTAAAACCCTGTCTCTACTAAAAATATAAAAATTAGCCGGGCATGGTGTCAGGTGCCTGTAATCCCAGCTACTCAAGAGGCTGAGGTAGGAGAATTGCTTGAACCTGGAAACTGGAGGTTGCAGTGATCCAAGATTGTGCCACTGCACTCCAGCCTGTGCAACAGAGCAAGACTCCATCTCAAAAAAAGAAGAAAAGAAAAAAAAGTTTTGTAACAAAACAACTAGTCAACCAATAACTTTATAACCAGCAAAACTATCCTTCAAGAATGAATGAAACATTAAAGACATTACCAAGTCAACAAAGCTGAGAGCATTCATTTGCAATAGACATATACAAGAAATGCTACAGGGATTCCTTTAATCTGAAATAAAAGGATTATTAGACAGTAACATGAAAACAGTCATAAAAAAAATAAACACTAATAAGTGTAACTTCCTAGGTAAATATAAAAGTAGTGTTGTACTTTGGTTTGTAATGTCCTTTTCCTAAGTGATATAAAAGACAAATGTACAGCTCCTCTCAGCAGTGGCAGCTCAGGCAGAGGAGTCTGCACATTAAATAAAATTTACAAAAATAAACAAAAAACAAAAGGCAAATAAAATGAAACAATCATAAATTTGTTAATGAGTATACTATGTAAAAAGATATAATCTATGACAACAATATAAAAAAGGAAGGATGGAGATTTACAGAAGCAGTGTGTTTATATACTACTAAAGCTAACCTGGCATTCTTCCAACTAGTTTAAGATATTAATTATAATCCCCAAGGTAACTACTAAGAAAACAAACTTTAAAATATAATGAAAATGAAAGAAGTGGGCCAGGCGCAGTGGCTCAAGTCTGTAATCCCAGCACTTTCAGAGGCCGAGGCAGGCGGATCACAAGGTCAAGAGATTGAGACCATCCTGGCCAACATGATGAAACTCTGTGTCTACTTAAAAATACAAAAATTAGCTGGGCATGGTGGCACGCACCTGTAGTCCCAGCTACTTGAGAGGCTGAGGCAGGAGAATTGCTTGAACCCAGGAGGTGGAGGTTGCAGTGAGCTGAGATCACGCCATTGCACTCCAGTCTGGTGACAGAGCAAGACTCCGTCTCAAAAAAAAAAAAAAAAATAATTAAATGAAAGAAATGAATTAAAAAGGCAAACAACTCAACTAAATACCACCACCCCAACGCCATAATGGAAGAAGTGAGGCATAAAAAACCAAAACACATACAGAAATAACTAAACGGCAGAAGTAAATCCTCCTTTTTCAGCAATCACAGTAAGTGTAAATGGATTAAACTCTTCTATTAAAATATATAGATTGACAGATTGGATTTAAAAAACAGAATCTATCTGTATGCTGTTTACAGGAGC